TCATATATAAGTACAATTTCTTACGTTGAGTACAATTTCTTATAAGTACAATTTCTTATATTTTATCCGCCATTACTTATTACCATTACTTATTACTATTAGGCATTACAAATACAAGGTCAAATACAAGGTCGGACAATTAACGGCGAGTAATTTGTCAACAATAAAAATGTCGCTTGATTTTCAAAGTCCATAAATCGTTAGAATACTGTTGTTTAGTGATACATTTGGCATCCGTAAGTGCAATTTGTTATGCTGAATCGAACGGTGGTATTTTTATCCTTATTGGCTATTGCGCCATTACTGTAATAGGCATTTATACAAATACAATATCATATTTCACACTGAGTACACTGCAGTTTTCACGGACTGTTGTTCGATAAAATTCATATCGATATGACACCAATATGCTTCTCATAAAGTAGTTATTTATTAAAACTACGTTGTGCAGTTTAAGTTATAACCTTTTACCTTGAAATTGTCTTTGGCTCGTTTATATTCAGATTCAGTATATTATGATCGTGCACGGGAATTCCACGATCCAAATTTCGGATTTTCAGAGCCGTGCACCAAGTAGAACGCATTAAATAAACTAGCAGGAATGTCCACAGTTACACACAATCCAAAATCCATAGAAAACAGGTACAATTGGTTCAAAATTTTAACGAAATTGTTGAAAACATTTTGCCCACTCCACGAAAGTCCCCGCCATTTTGATGGATCAAGCAGCTCATTAATATTCTATTTTGTGGCTATCGGAGATTGGAGATTGAAGTAGCCTGCGTGCAGGCCCAAGGGAACTTGATAGTGGGCCCATTGAACTATAAATAAACTGGAAGGCTAACTGCTATGATGAAGGCCTATGATTTGATGAAGCCAAAATAGTTTTTCTGAGTTATGAGCAGAAATACTTGACCGCAAACGTCGGGCTATATATGAAATTGAAGCTATTGAAAATTGCTATTCGGTGTGGAAATTTCAAGACTTCAGCCAAAAGAAAAATATTTAAAAAATACAAAAACAACTGCAAAACGGCAAATTATCGGTAATTATGTTTGTAGTTTTTCAATATTTCCCTTTTAGCTAAAGTCTTGAAATTTCTACACCAAATAGCGTTTTTCAATAGCTTCAATTTGATATATTGCCCAACGTTCAGTGTTGAGTATTTCTGCTCATAACTCAGAAAAACTAAAATACACTGGCTTCAATTTCCCCCCCTGAGTTAGCCTTCCAGTTTATTTATAGTTCAATGAGTGGGCCACTGTGTAGTGGGCCTGCAACCATCGCCCGGTATTTTGAAATACGCCCCTTTTCATAACACGCCCCATTCGCGCGTCAATTGTCAAAAAAGAACCAATGACAGCACCCAAATATTAACAAACAAACTCGCATTAAAATGTTGCGGGGTTTTCTCTGCTTATTCAGAACACTAATAAACAATGTGTAAATGGCTGCGTTTTAACTCCAAAAAAGCAAGCAACGCGGTCAGTAATTGCCAAATTTGCAAGTGCTCATTTTCAACTAAAATCGGAACAGGCAAATTAGGACGAAATTCAACAGAAAACCAGTCTCAAACTTCAAATCATGAGGGAAGTCGGGCGACCACATTAGGATTTATATTATGTGTGCTTCGCTGTCGCCATTGGCATTGTTATAAATAAATTGTCTCACTTATCAGATCGTGTGTGCAATTCTTGTTGGCGGCGAAAAGTACGAAATTTATTTCATTTGGTAAAGAACTCTACATAAGAAGAGAGCGTTCCGAGTCCAGATCGTTTCGTTTCAAACGGCAATTTAATACCGCCTTCTGTTTCGCTCTCTCTGCGAAGCCTTGTAAATCGCAAAGTGTTTCGAATAGGCTTACAGTTCTTACATGCAACTGCATCTCAACATCAACCAAAAGATAATTTTCTTGAGGAAGTGAGAACACATAACGTATCAACTGAAGTCTGTTTGAAATTAATGAAACTCAAGTGAAGGTTACTATAGTTTACCCCAGTCGTAATGTTGCTATTCCAACACCTCACGACAAGCAATCCCCATTGGCATAACGGCAAAAACATGTCTTCCTTCAAGTAAACAATAAACAGTCTGTTCTTGTTCCATTTGTAATCGAAAAAAGTGATCAATTTTCAAATTTTAAGCTTATCGAGAGCCTTTGTCTATGCCTTTGTGATGAATCACTGTTCCCTTGTGCCTGCACAATGGCTAGGTTAATTAATTACCGATCGCCTCAGCTAGCCAATGGGAATTTAGCCGGCGGTTCGGCCGGCGAAAACATGGGGCGATGGTTGCAGGCCCACTACCAAGTTCCCTTGGGCCTGCACGCAGGCTAAGATTGAAGCCGAAACCTATACTCGCCCGGGGCACAGGGTGCCCCAGCGAGTAAATATGGAAACCCTGGGAGTTTGCATGTGACTTTCCGGTGACCTCACTGTCTAGTGACTGGAATATGCTGGAACCATAGCAACCGAACCATAGGAGGTAACCAGGGGCGTACGAGGGGGGGGAGACAAAAATTGGCATATTGCATTTTTTATCCGTACACCCCCTGTTGAGGACCTTGGAAATCAAGGGGATGCCTTTTATATTTAACCCTGGAATTCCAGTGGGTGGGGGTCAAACCAATCTGGAATTCCAGTGGGTGGGGGTCGAAATAACCCTGGAATTCCAGTGGGTGGCCATGGAGGTCAAAATAATAAGATTTACATGGAAATTCCGGGAAAAGGGATAAAATAATGATACCGGAACTGGAAATTCCAGGGGAGACCAACTTATTCACAGTGCAATTCCGGAGTCATGCGGAAAAAATGCATTTCCAAGGGTCATTGATTGTCATCATCGAAAAAAAAAGTGCTTGGAATTCCAGGCACTCCCTTCTACAAACCACATTTTTCCAGGGATGGAGTCAAAAAGTGGCAAGGAAATCCAGGGGAGATCAACTTATTCACAGTGGAATTCCGGAGTCATGCGGAAAAAAATGAATTTCCAAGGGTCATTGATTAAACACAATTGGAATTCCAGGCACCCCCTTCTACAAACCACATTTTTCCAGGGCTTCTGACAAAAAATTGCTTGGAAATCCGGGGGGTAGGAGAATTTCCGTGTGTCCTCAACATGGGGTGTACGGATAAAAAATGCAATAAGCCATTTCAAGATCATATTAAATTTTCGAATTCCAACGTACAATGAATTTTTTGACCAAATTTCCTCGCAAAAATTGCACATTCGGAATCTTTTGTTTGAAGTTTATAAGTTAAGTTCTTTTTCAGTCAAAAAACACTAATTAAAGAATTACTAGAAACAAAAATAAATACTGAAACTTCTCATGTTTATCATG